AAAATAAAAAAAAAAAAAAAAAGGGAAAAAATGAAAATGAAAAAAAAAAAGTGTTAAAAAATAACAGCAAACACGAGAATAGAGTGCAAGTGAAGCTAACAGCAGGCTCGGAATTCGGGACAGATTGTGGCCTAGAAAGGTGACGGCGCACGCGGCCGGGGGCCGGCGAGGCCAGACCCCCGTGGGGACGGTCCCCGGGGTCAGTGGCCCTGAGCTGGGCTGCCACTGGGGGATTTTTCCCTCTCCTTACCTGCTGGCCACCCTAAGAGCCCCAATCCCTCACCTTCCACCTAAAGATAGCAAAGCCCTCCACGACCCGAGTTAATCCCGGCTGCTTAAGGTGTGTCACAGCCCGTGCCAGCTCCCGGGGCTGCACCAAAACCGCACCAAAACCACCCCAAAACCCCCTCCCCGACGTCCTCAAGCACTGCTGGGCACCCCAAACACGGGGTAGGTGTGTTTTTCGCTGCTTGGCAGCAACAGCAGCCTGAGTGCTGGTGATTTTCGGGGGTTTTTTGATGCTGAAATCCCTCCTCGACACAGGCTAACAGCATTAGCTGCTGTCAGGGCTGCAGACGGGAGCCAGCCCGGAGTGACACGGGAGCTGCTCAGCTTTACAAGCATGAACCAGCCCCGGGGATTTTTGGAGAGCAGGAAAGTGGCTTTAGATCAGAAAATTCCTCCAGTGCGGAAGAACAGGCGGCATTTTACTGTGCAGAGGGAAGGGAGGAAAGGGGAGAGGGAAGATAAAACCACTTTGGGCTGCCACAGATGAAAATTCAGGGTTACAAAGCACCCCCAAAGCCCTGCCAACCTTTCCTGCTCAGTCCAGGGCATGGAGGAGCTGCTGGTGTGAGGGACCCAGTGGGGACGTGGTGTGTCCCACCAGTGTCATGGAATACTGGAATGGTTTGGGTTGGAGGGACCTTAAACCTCATCCCATTCCACCCCCTGCCATGGGCAGGGACACCTTCCACTAGCCCAGGTTGCTCCAAGCTGACCTTGGACACTTCCAGGGATCCAGGGGCAGCCACAGTTTCTCTGGGCAACCTGTGCCAGGGCGTCCCCACCCTCCCAGGGAGGAATTCCTTCCCAATATCCCATCTAACCCTGCCCTCTGGCAGTTTGAATCCGTTCCCCCTTGTCCTGTCCCTCCATCCCTTGTCCCAAGCCCCTCTCCAGCTCTCTTGGAGCCCCTCTATGCACTGGAAGGGGCTCTCAGGTCTCCCTGCAGCCTTCTCTTCTCCAGGCTGATGTGTGACACCGATGGGGTCACCCTTCCCAGGGTCACCCTTCCCCGCTCCCCCAGCCATTCCTCACCCTGGGACACATTAAAATTGGCATTTAACCACTGCAAGGAGCTGCTGCCTTCCCCAGGGCTTGGAGCCATGGCTTCACCCCCCAGCTTTGCCCTCCACATCCCTGGGAACGGGCATCCTGCCCTGCTCCACCACCCGACACGGAGCCAGGGCTGCAGAGCTGGTGGCAGGTGACACCAGAGCTGCGTCCTGTGTTTTCCCTGCTAATTGTTTCTAGAGGGAAGCAGCAGCAAAATATCCAGTTATTCCTGCAGAGAGCATTAGTTTCTCCAATTAGGCACAGGTTTAGGAAACTTGCTCGGAGCAGGCAGGGACTTTTCCAAGAGTCAGGCGGGCAGGGAGAGGGATTTGTGCGCCGGGGATACACACACAGAGAGCTCAACAGATCCCGCCGAGCCGGGGCTGCACAGGAATTAAAGACTTATCCAAATGAAAGCAAATAGGGTGTTAAGTGACACACATGTAGAGCGAGCGGTTTCCTTGGAAACCAGCGCACATGGAAGCGCCACACGTGCAGTGCTCCGGCATTTTCGGCAGCGCCGGGGTGGCCCTGGGGGCTCTGCCCTGCCGGGGGTGCCCCTGCTGGGCTGGGGATGCAGCTGGATGAGCCCAGCGGTGCCCACAGCATCCCACTGGCAGTCGTTTCTCCAGGGTGTGGAGAAAAAACGGCTCCAAAGGCGCTTTCTCCTGGGTGGGAAGGGGAGGTGGATGGTGCTCAGCTCTGGAATTCTATCCCAAAACTAATGGACAGAGCCCCAGCCAGGCGCCCAGCCCGGCACCTGCTTCCCAAGGCGGGTTTGGATGGTTTTGAAAAGTCCACCTGGATCCTCCCCAGCTCCTCCATCCCTCAGAGCTGTTCCTTGTGCACGCCCGCCTGGAGCATGTGTTGTTCCCTCCTGGAGGCGCCCAACCCCTGGCCACACAAGGGATGAGGTGAGATTTCCAGCTGTCCCACTGCCACCCACACATCTTTTCCAGCCCCTAAGGAATGTCCCCAGGTAGGAGCCGCTGTGGAAGCAAATCATGGCACTGATGGGTTACAATGGTATCTGAGCCAAAGGACCTTCCACCTCCCCGAGAGCTCCAGCCTGGCATGGCAACATCCCGTATTATCCTGCTGGAAAGGATTTTGGGGTGACAGATGGCATGAGACGATCCAGACCAGTCCCTTTGGTGTGGAGATGGGCTGGGGAGGTGCATCCCAAGCACGCAGCACCCACATCAGAGCCAGGGAAGAGCCGGGTTTATGCAACCACAAACCAGAAAAACTAAATAGACCCAAAACGACTTCCCAGAGCAGGGCACGAGCTCCTGGATGGGCAGGGAAGGTGGGAAAGGTACTCAGAACCTTGGGAAACATTACTGCAGCTCTCCTAAGGGACATCCCAAGGGTCCAACCCATGTCCCACCAGCGCAGGAGTCGGAGCGATGCCGCTGCTCCCGCAAGGTGGAAGCGCCGCAAGCACCAGCTGAGAGTCAATCTGGGCTCCTTTCTTGGCTTGTCCCCAGTACTAAAAAGTTTCTATAACAGGCACCGAGTTCGCAATTCTGCTGCTGCTGCTGCTGCTGCTTCGCCAAAGAGAAATTCCAGCTCCCTCCTCGCTGGCAAAAAAATTGTTTGCGACCGAGTTGTTGTGGCTCCGGGAAGGAGCTGCCGAGCGTGGCAGGATTTCACCTTCTTATTTTAAAC